AGCATTTATGGAGTGAGTGTCTGGGGTCTTAAGTGTTGTATCAGTAGCTTTGGGGCCTCAGAGACCCACCCTACTCCAGAACAAGGTCAGGACTTATATTTTGGTGGGGAGACAAGTGAGGGAAAGAATGGGCAGGATATCCTGGTGATTTGAACTCATGATGCTGCATATCTAACTGAGGATGCATGCCCTAGGAGTTAAGCCACAAAGACTAAGGGTAGGAGAAATTTATCAGGGAACCCTTGGGGTCCAGGCATTCAAGATGTTCTGCATCCATAATTCTTTGGGGGTAAAAGTCTGCACAGCACCTTCCATCCAGACTCTACCACCTCAGGGGGCATTATTGAACCTCTGGAACCTTAGTACCATGTCTGAGTTACAGGTAGTGTTGAGTTATGGCTAGTAATGCCTGAAGGCTCCCCCAGTGACAGATGTGGACAGAGCCAGGAGCAAAGCAGGGAGCACCAGGAGGGCAGGATTTATGGTAGGGGCCTGAGGGTCGCAAGAGGGGAAGTTGAAGCATGACCTCAACCCAGTCCAGTGCACCCCCAATCCGGAGAGGATTCAAGGAACATCTATCCAACATTGCTGCTTTCTGGGAGCCCCGGGCCTGGGGGAGGCCCCTGTGGTGTGCTGAGGGCTAGGACACTGAGTCTGGGGCCCCAGTACCAGAGGTCCCATCTCCATCCATCATAGCTACAGCTCTCTACAAAGGCTCAGCAAGCTTAGTGGAGGATAAACAGCCAACAACAGGGAGGTACACTCGGGTGTGTGAATATTTATTTACTCCTTTAAGAGATCATACCTGGGCCCTCCCTGGTGGCGCAGCGGGTTAAAGCACTGCACTGAGAAACTAAAGCCACTTCCGCATGAGTTCGATCCCCGCCTGCCCCGGAGGTGACCACATGGCGTGGCAGACCTCTCCTGGCCCGCCCGCTGCTCCCCTCAGCAGTGTACTTCCACGATTTCCCTGTTCTGCTCCCCACTCTGTCTCTGGTGAGGCCTCTCACCCTCCGCATCTCTGGCCTGTACCCCAGTTATGTATGAATAAATAAAATAAATCTTATAAAAAAAAAAGAGATCATACCTGCAGCCTTCTACTGGAGTGGAGCTTGGGAGTATATCTGGGGTCCCAACAGTTTCTGGTGTAGACTTTCATTCTTCTTTAATAGAAAAAAAAACACCTCTACCTGTACCCCTACATTGAGAGAGAACGTGTACCCTGATCATTTCCTTTTGCATGGGCTCTGCAGTGAAATGGGGATTTCGCCACCACTGGCATAGAAGGCATTCAGGGATGGGTAGTGAGAGTAGATGCCAGTCACTATTGATAAAAGAAAGCGTTGGTCTTATTATAGGAAGCTACTTCCTCATCTGTCGTGAGGGTGGGGAGTGATGTTTCAACACATGAGGAGCTGTTCCAACAGGGAGATTTTTCCAATTGGAAATATCACAAGTGGAGGAATGTATCAGTGGGGGTTGATCAATAGGGCCTATATGGATGGGTGGGGTTTTATGAATGAAGATATTTTCACATGGGCTTAATCAAATGAGAGATATCAGTTATGGGTATTTCTGAATGGGAAGATTTGATAATGGAGTTCATCAGTGAGAACATTTGTTAGGCATCTCTGAATGGGGCATATGCCAGTGGTCATGATGTGTGCATGGGGAGATTTGCTGATGGAAATTATGTCACAGGAAGCTATTTATGAATAGAGAGATGTGTCAGTGAGTGGTCAGTTGGAGCTATGCTAGTAAATGGGTAGCTATGAAGAGAGGTATTTTCACTAGGATCCATCAGGGGGCGATAGAGTGCTGCCGGCCGTTGGTGAACCGGGAGATTTCGTCTGTGGGGATGTCAATGGGGATATGTCGAAGGATATTTATTAAAAAGGAGGTAACTCAACAGGGGTTTTTTTAGTGGGATACTTAGGGGAAAGAGAATCTGTACAATAAGGAGAGAGGACTTTTCGAAGAAAGAATTTTCCAAAAGACCTGTCACCTGTAGTCTTGACAGCAGTAGAGATTTATAAATGTGGTTTGTAAATCCGCAGTAAGGACTTCACAGCAGGGAATGTTGTCACTGGAGTCCAGGAGGGGTGTCTTCAGAAGTCTTTGTCAGTGGGGAGGTTTGCACCCTGGAAATCTGTGTACAAGTAGCAGGGTAACAAAAGCATTACAAATGAGCATATTAAATATTTATAATGTCTCTGGGGGATATTATCAGGATCACAAGTTAAACGAAGGTTTCCAGGATACATGGAATTATTACAGTACTACATGTTATGTATGTTTTATTACACATTATCCATTATTTTCAGCATCGTAAATGATCCCTAATGTCAAACGTTACCTGAAATATTGTAAATAATTACTGATAAGATTGATCACTACTAGAATTGTATATTAAATTATATTGATCACTACTAGAATTGTATATTAAACCATAACTATTAGCAGTAACAAGTCACACTTTTTAAAAATTTATATATTTTTTACATTATTCTTCATTTGTGCATTTTTTCAACTTGGTTGTGATCCCCGTGGACTTCCCACCACCACTTCACCCAGGTGCCATCACCATAATCCCGTGTACTCTCCTGACCCCCATTTTGGCCTTGTTCCCTTCTCCTCCCCCATAGAGTGTCTCTGGTTTGTAGTTGTTAGCTGATGTTCTTTTTTTTACATATATTTTAAAAAAATTACTTATTTATGCATACAAGAACTGGGGTACAGGCCAGAGGTGCAGGGGCGGTGAGAGGATTCACCAGAGACAGAGTGGGGAGCAGAACAGGGAGATCTACTGAAATACACTGCTGAGGGGAGCAGCGGGTGAGACAGGAGAGGTCTGCTGCACCATGTGGGTCACCCCCCTGGCCAGGGATCAAACTCACGTTGCAGTGGCTGTGGATTGCTTCATAGTGCTGTGCTTTAACCCATTGTGTCACCAGAGAGGGTCCACACAACTTATGGTTCTTAAGTGCTATGTGTCTGACACTGTTCTGGACATTTCATGCTCACACTGGCCGCAGGAGTTAGGATTCCTTTTGTATCTCTCTTACAGATGTGGAAACTGCAGTAACATGAGTCTATAGAGGTAACATGATTTTCCCAAGGACACAGAGTTAGGATACGAAAGGGGCATGATTTGAATGCACATGGCCTGGCTCCTGGTTCATGTTCATCATTATGCTACATTACGTGTCTAGAGATGAAATCACTGTTACAAATATTACACATTAAGTTATTGCTGTGAGAATTTCATGTGTTTTGACCTGAGAAAATACCCTAGGCAGGAGCACACCCATCAGCATCCTACAACCCTAGAACAGTTCTCTGAAGGATTCTGGGTCAAGACAGTCAAGTCCACATTTGAAGCTCGGGTGAGGGAAGGGCTAGCCCCCAGGTGACCTGTTGAGCTCCCCGTGCTGCACACCTCACAGAGCTGTCACCCCCACATGCTTCCTCTCAGCCACTGATCAGTCTCTTCCAAGCAAAGATTCACACATTGACTTGTGGAAGACTGGGGTGAGGACAGGAAAGCATTACTCACCTTAATGGATTTTCTAGAAGGGAAAGTGGAAGGAAGTGTAGTGATTCCAGGACTACCGACACTCTCCAGGAGATCCCGTCAGAGTCTGGGGAAGGTGGCGTGTTCTGAACAGCCCTGTCCGTAAAACACTGGTTCCTGGCTCAAGGAACCACTTGCAGGTGGGCAGGTCAGCAGAAGAATAGCCTGCACACTGGGTTCCATCCTTCCCTGCCCCGAATTGCACCTTCCTCTCAGGAGCTAAAATAGCCGAGGTTCAGGGAACAGGTGGGCCCAGTAAACAGTGCAGGGAGCTGGTACCAGTGTTCAGTGCACTGCCAGGAGCCGCAACACTCTTGCAGGCTGCTGAAGCAATAGCAACTGAGCCACTGGGGCCAAGCCAGGGCCCAGGCCCTGTCCCTACAGTTGTACCTATCAGCAAGGGCTTCCACTTGCTTGTGTCCACGAGGTTCAGGTCCTCCCAGAGCATCATCAAAGTGGCACACTAACGTAGAATTGTTGCTGCAGCGGGCATCTCCTGCATTGTGTGCTCACCTCCACCTATCCTGATCCTTGGGCCCAGGGGGAGCCTCCTAAGTATGCCAAAGGCTCTGAGACAGGGAGACATGGGATCCAGGGGCCTATAGTTTTTGACCCAGAATTCCCTGCAGACTCGGGTTCTTAATGGCAGGAGCAGGGGCTAGTGTGCTCGGAGAGAACCTGGGGTCCTTTCTGAGGAAGATAGATTGGGGCCCTTCTCCAGGCAGATGCAGGTCAACAGGACACCTGAAGTTTCTATTGACTGTATCAATCTCAAATTCTGGTTCCAAGACCTCACCTGAGTCAGAAGTGGAAGGGGCAGGAACCAGGGCATGGGAAGCGCCCAGCAGCCTGGGCCTCAGCTATAGGAGCAGGAAGGGCAAAGGAAAGGCGTGCTTGGGAGGTGGGACAGTGTCTGCCACTCAAGGTTGGACAGGAACGATGACCCAGAAAGATGAGGCATGGGTCTCGAGGGCCCAGTTTTGGTAAGGAGACAGCCATGTTGGAAGAGGCTGGTGTGCCTGTCTGGTCTTGGATTTTAAACCTACTTCACTTCAGAGCTGGTCAAAAGAGCGAGGGGGTTAGGAGAGCTGTCTGCCAACTGACAGAGCATTTGTCAGTGAACTTGTCCACTGCAAGGGTTTGTAAATAGAGGGATTTGCCCATACAAGCACTGGAACGATGCATAAACTTGAGAGCCCTGGCAAACTGAAGTACTGAGTAGAAAGATTGGCCAGTAAGTTGAGGTTGGCAGCGCAGATTAAAGCAGCATGACTGGTGTTGCAAGCCCCACTGCTAATGCCAATACCTCAAATTTTATATAAAAAAAAATTCTGTACCCCTTACCCCTCAGCATTAGTCCTGGGGTGCTCCCACCAGGTCACATGAGTTTGTTTCCAAACACGACACAAGGACTCTGCCTGCTGGTGGCAATTCTTTATTTCACTGTCTAGGAGGAAGAGAGTGGAAGTAGAATAAAATGGGTTTGAACGCTGGGCAGGCTGTGGCTCCCCTGGGGGCAGGGTTCAGGCGTCCTTGAATCTCAGGGATTGCCAGGTGCATAGGCCTGGCTCCCGGGACAGGCAAGCGAGGTGGCGGCTCTGGGAACCCTTCTCCGAGCGTCCGAGGAACTGGTCTGTCCACAAGCAGTGAGTGTTGCTTTGCAGTTGGCAGGGGATGGACCTACAGGGAAACACCTAGAAGAGAGGAGGTGGCACATCTCTGAGGGTTTGTCCTCCTGCCCCTCCCCTACAGAGCAGAACCTTCCCCTCCCCAATTTTCATCATTGAGCTACTGGGGAGACTTGGTGTCACCCCATCAGGGCAAAGACTCTAGAAGGCCCTCCCGCTGGAGGGACAGTCACTAGGCTCAGCAAGACGACTTTAGCCAAGGAAAGGATCTGTTTCCCAGAGTGGAGGTTGGAGGGATGGGGGGAAGGTAGGCAAGCCTCTTGGGCAACTGCCCCATAGCAGTAAGAGACAACTAGCCCTCAGAGAACATGGGGGCATCAGGGAACAGCCTTGGAGTAATGAGAAGGGTAAGTGGTGGGGCCATGCACGTGTGCATGCGCGTGCGTGTCTGTGTGCGTGTGTGCGTGCGCGCGTGCGCGTGTGTGTGTAAGGAACAGACACAGAGCAGCAACCCAACATAAGGGTGAGTCGGTGTGTTTGGAAGCAGCACTTTGGGTTCTGGGAGAACATTCCAGGGAAGCAAGAAAAAAATCACAGGGGGTCCAAAGCAGACTGGGTGACTAGAGAATACAGTCACAAGGGAGAGTTAGAGGGAAGAGCGGGGTATCACAGGGCAAGGGGACAACCACAGGTTCTAGGGTAACTGTCTTGGGTTGGGGGGAACAGCAAGAGCTATCAGGGCCATCCCTGGGGTTTCAGGAGCTGTCTCAGCAGGCAGAGAGTAGTGAGGGGGAGCAGGAAAAAAGCCCTGGTCTGGGGAAGAGGCCTGCAGTGGGAGAGGGACTCACTGTGCATTCCTCACAGCCCTCCTTGTAGATCTTGGTGAAGCCCTTGCGCTGAGCAGAGGTCAGCTTGTTCCAGGGAGCCACGAAGCTGCAGGTGGTGATTCGCAGTTGCCCCTCCCACATTTGTCCTGGGGTGGGGGAGAGAAAAGAGGGGGAGTTAGACAAAGAGAGAGCAGAGGGAGAGGAAGAGGAGGAGGGGATCTACAGGGTGGGGAGGGAGAGAGACAGAGAAGGGGGAGGCGGGAGGGAGCAGAAGTGAGAGAGATGCAATAAGCAGTTGCTGATGGGGGCAGGGTGCCTGGCTGACACCCCTGGAGCATAGGCCCAGCTGGGGAAGCCCCTCCGGCTGCATCATCAGACAGGCTGAAATTGGGGCCAGCCCCACTTCCACAGGGCATATTCCCTCTGCGCCTCGCCCTCCCGGTTGCCAAGCAGCAGCTGGGAGCCAGTTGGCCTGGCACAGGGGGAGGCTGGGGCCTCACCAGCGATGAGAAACTCCTCGCTGCGGTTCTGGGACCGGTGTAAGTAGCCACAGACACTCTCCATGGCAGGAGTGTAGATGAACCGGATGTCAGGGGTATTCCTGGAGGCATTAAATCCTTTGAACATCTATCAAAGATAAGGGGGAAGTCTTTTTTACTGACAATCCTCCCACTCATCCTCCCACTAAATTCTCATAGCATCCTTTTGATAACCAGTGGCCACAGGCTTCTGTTTTGACCAGGAGGAAGATGTCTGGAACTGCCAGTGGGGAGCAGGAGAGATACCTTGGTCATCTTGATCTCATAACGCTTGTTTAAGGTGGTCTGGTTGACTTCTGAGATCCCCACGAACTTGGCCCTGATGACTGGGGGGAGGAGGGAGTGAGAAATAAGTCAAATGAACTGCATGAGCAAGTGAAATAAAGTAAAATAATAGTAATAATAATAATAATAGTGTTACTATATATATATATACCCATACATATATATATATAATAGCTAGCAAAGCCCTTTTTAAAAAAAAAAAAAGATTTTTTTAGTGTAGAAGAACTCTGTAGACAGAGTGGGGAGCAGAACAGGCAGACCTACTGAGGTACACTGCTGAGGGGAGCAGAGAGCTGCGCCATGGGTTAGGTCCCTGGCCAGGGATCGAACTCATGCAGTTTCCATAGGCCTTCGCAGTGGTAAGGCTAAGACTTAGGCCCTAGGCCACCAGGGAGGCTCCATTACTAAATAGATTGCTGGATACCAGGTGGGAATGCGCTAAGCCATCCACACATTTGTTAATTCAGTAACTGATCCATCCTATATTGTGTGCTGTGCTTTACCAGGCACTGCTTTAAGGCTTTTCCATATATTCATGATGTTTTCATTCACTCCACAAATATTTTGGAGCGCCTTCTGTGTATCAGGCACTGCTCTGACTATTACAGACATAAGCGTGAACAGAACACAGACGTCCCTTCCCTGACGGAGCACACACTTGTCAGCAGGAGAGAGACAGACAAAATACAAGCAAAATCAGTAAGTCTACGGAATGCTAGAAAGTATTACGTACGATGGGGAATTTCGGAGCTGAGCAAGAGGGACCAGGGATACCAAGAGCTAGCGGGTAAACTTTTACACAGGGTGGTTTGGGAAGGCCACCCCGAGAAAGTCTTCTTCCCCCACCTTGAGACAGCCACCCAGATAGAGCTATGCGGAAGGGTGTACCAGGCAGAGGGGACAAGCCCTGAGGTAGGGTCGAATCTGAAGTTATCAAAAAAGCTTGGGGATGCCAGTGTGCCTAAAACAGAGTCAGGCAGGGCCACGTGGAATTGTTCGAGACTGGGACGTCGTGAATCCTGCTGGCCTGTGAGGGAAGTGAAGCACAGAGTGTCTGGACTGAGTGGGCTGCAGACTCACCGACGTCAGAGTTGCAGAAGGCTGTCTGAGGGTGGGGTGGGGCACAGGTGCAGGCCTTGCTGGGGGCTGTCAGCCACAGCAACATCAGAATGCCGGAGGCCAGGAGTGCAGTGGGGGCCATGGTGGTTCTGCAGAGGTGGAGAGGAGGGGTCAGTGCAGCTGATGTAGGACCTGGGCAGCAGGTCTCTCTTCCTGGCCCCCACACACACCTGGAAGAGGGGTAGGCAACTTCACTTGGCCTGAGAACTTTGAAGAGCCTGGAGGAGGTTGGGGGTCAGGGGTGCTGTGGAATTGAAGAATTGTGGAGTTTGAGCAATTTAGCGGACTGGGTGAGTTGAAGGATTATGGAGCTTTGGTGTTGGCAAATAAAGGGGCTAGGAGAGTTTGAGGATTTAAGGGGCCTGGAGAAAGGAAAAGGTTGAGGAGTTTAAGCAGAAGAAATTGGGGTTTGCAGAGCTGGAGTTTGGGAATTCCAAGGTTGTGCATATTGAGAGTTATAGGAGGTGAAAGAACTAGGGAGGTTCAGAAATTTGGAGGATGTTGGGGGTTTGGGGAATTCGGGATGCTTGAAGGATAAGGGAGAAGAAGAAGTTCTGAGTTTCAGAGATTTAGGCATTTCAGAGTCTGGGGGATTGGGTGCTTGGGGAGTTAGAGGAGGTGCAGGGATTTGGAGGTGTGGGGCTTAGGGAGCAATGACAGGATCTCTCCGGGAACTGGCAGCTTTGGCAGAATCTGTGGCGTTAAAACTCCTGGGTTTGGAGGAGTTTAGAATGGATGTGAAAGGTTCGAAGGAGTTTGGAGCGTGGAGATTGGGGGAGTTCAGACCCCCACCCTCTTCCCCTTGACCAGCCCAGACCCTGGTACCCACGGGCCAGGCTGGGCAGCCTGATGTCTGGCACACAAGCGCCAGCCTGGCTTCCAGCCTTTGCCTACCTCTGCTGTGGCCTCTCCACGCGTCGGGTCCTCCTCGATGGCGGCAGGGCCTGAGCAGCGGAGGATAAATGTCCACTCAAGGGGTGGGGGTGGCGGTGCGGAAACCACAGGCCTCCAGGCTTCCGGGATGCATTACTCATCCGCCCACCAACAGTGGAGGCCAAGGGGCGGGCTGAGCTGTGCCGAAAAGGAGCTTTGCCCTCTTCCCCGCCTCCTCCCGGGCCTCTCCGACCTCCTCCCCCACGCCCTGGCAAGGTCCTCCCAGGCAGCCTTCACGGAGGGCTAACAGGCTGGATCCCCTGGGATCCAGGGGCCTTTCCTAACATCTCCAAACCCTCTCCAATCACCCAAGTCCCCCAAATTCCCCATGGTTGATGCCTGAATTTGTTCATTCCCTCAAGCACATTTATTGTGTACCTACTCTGTGCCACGCGTACACCAAAAAACCAAACAAATCTCTCTCCTGGTAGATCTGGCATTCTACGGAAGAGTAGGGGCGGTGGAGGAACTAAATTCAATAGGAGCAGTGGAGGGAGATAAGGCAAACATGGTGAGGAAACTGAGGCAAGAGAATTTAAGTGACTTACTCAAGATAGGTTAACAAGTGACAGAACTGGAATTTGAGTTCAGGAAGCCTGGAGCCAGAGCCTGGGTCGTAACGCCCTCAAAGACACAGGTAAATGCCAGCATTTATATAGCACAGCTGTGTACCAAGCACCTGGCATAATTCCTCCCACAAGAAGTCTCTGGGGTGGGTCCCCATTTTTACAGAGGAGAAAATACAAGGTGTAGAGGGATTGAAGAACGCTCCCAGGACCACTTGTGTGGCTGCAATTTGAACCTAGGGTAGCTGGCACCAGGGTCTTAACCCAGGCAGGGAACAGCCCTGGCAAGCGGGAAGGGTGAATGTTGGTGTGGAGGGGGAGGTGAATGGTGGTGAGAGAGGCCAGTGAGTCAGTAGAAAATGGATCCCCTCCCATCCTGCCCTGCTCCTTCCCCACCAACCCTCCCACACCCCTGGTGGGGGGTGGGGTGAGGCAATCCCTGCCCACCAGCTTCCAGATGCTGCCTGGGGTCCTGGGAAAGGGCTCTGAGGGTTCATTAATGTCCTTTCTTATTATTTTTAAAAATGTATTTGTTTATGCATACAAGGACTAGAGTGTAGGCCAGAGATGGGTGTGTGTGTGTGTGAGAGAGAGAGGGGATTCACCAGCAACAGAGTGGGGAGCAGAACAAGCAGATCTACTGAATCACACTGCTGAGGGGAGCAGACAGCAGAGGTCTGTTGTGCCAGTTGGGTCACCTCCCTGGCTGGGGATCGAACTTGTGCTGCAGTGACTGCCAATAGCTTCATCGTGATGCTTCTTAACCTCTTACACCACCAGGAAGGCCTGATATCCTTTCTTAGCTCAGAGAGGACAGACCATAATGATGATGGCAGTGATAATAGCAGTACTTATTGAGCACTTACTGTATATGCTGCCTAAAGGCTTTGTGTAAATTATCTCATTCAGTCTCCAAGACTCCCTTGTTAGTTAAAAAAGTTTCATTACCTCGGGCAAGTTAGCCTAATCAAAACACCACTGCCAAACCAGAAGCATCTAGAGAGTGTTCATTAGGTGTAGGGCACTGTTCTAAAATCTTTGTAAGTATGTCACAGTCAATCCCATTACCTCCTTGGTAATAAATGTTGGCTAATGAAGGGGTGATACACCAATAAAAATAATGGTACCCAACACTTTTTCGAAGATTGAAGCTTCCTGCATGCCACTCACTGTGCTGAGTGTTTTCCCCCAAGGAACTAATTTGTTTCTCCTGATGTCCCTGTGAATTAGACTGTTCCTATTCTTATTACATGGATAAGAAAACCGAGACACGCACATTGGGTGAGTGACCTGACCAGGAATGAGAGTGAAGAAATGACTGTGATGGAGGCACTAGCCAAGGTGGGGGTTGAGCAAGCCAGAAATTCTAAGGTGATTGTGAAAGTGGGGGAATGAGAGTGAATGAGACAGGGACTGAGTCAGTGGCCCGGCCAAGGAGAAGTGGGCGTAAAAGGGAAAGTCCTGCTGCAGGCAGCCCCTCGCTGACCTTGCTCTGACGCTGCTCCATGACTCTGAAACCTGAGTCAGCAGAGTTCTGTTGCCTGTCTGCCCATGAGGGGATGTGTCAAGTTGGGCTATTGTGCAGGTTTGGGTCTCATGGAGGGTGTCTGCCTGTGTGTGTGATCATCTGGGATGCTATGAGCCCAGCCGGGGTGTGCAGAGTTTGATGGTCCCGCCAACACACCAAGTACATGGGTCTGCTTGTGCCCTTTGTACAGATCAGAAAACTGAGACATGGAGCGGGCTCCAGTGACCTCCCTGGCGTCCTGCTTGACCTTCAGAAGAGAGGCCAAGATGTAAACCCTGGGCTCCAGGGGATCCCAGAGTGCAGACTCCCTGCACACACACGTGGGAGCATGCACACAGACAGTCTGTGTTCAGGCTTCAGTTGAGAGGCGACGAGAAGGATTCATGAAAACGGGTGCCCAGACACCTGAGGAGAATGTTTCTGCCTCTGAGAGTTGTGTGTGTGTCCTGAGGGGTCTTGTCCTGTGGGTATGTGTGCCATGGGGATCTTGAAGAGCCCTGTGGACATGTGCACAGTGGAAGCACTCCACGGCCACATCTGAGGTGGGTACACCTGGGGACTGGGGGGATGCACAGAGGGAGGAGCAGGCGCCTGGCAATAATGCTCTGTAAACTGTCACGCACTCTCCTCAGAGGAACCTCTGGCCCAGAAGGTTCTTGGCAAATGGCAAGGTTTGTAGTAAACTGTAAAGTGCCTGGTGCACTGGGACAGCCCTGGCAAAATACTTTATAAAGTGCTGTGTGAACTGAGACGCCTTGGTGAATGGCAAAGCACTCAGCAACCTTTATTTTTACAGTGTTGTGTGAACTGAAAGGTCTTCGGCAAGTGGCAAAGTACTTTATAAAGTACTTTACAATAAAGAGTGGCGATTGGTGCCAAGCTCTCTGTAAACTGTAAAGTACCTTCTCAATCTGTGCTGCTTGTGGGAGCTGTATGTGTGCTCCTGTAAAGCAGCACTAGGCTGCACACCCCAGACGTGCTGTTCTCTGTCAGAGGCAATGTGCTCAGCGTTACATCACCGCAGCCCTGGTATTATTGTTCTGGAAAGCCAGCGAGAGGATCCCGGTTCCCCTGTCCCAACAGCACCCCATCATGACGCCAGTCATTTGGGAAATGAGGAAGGTGGGAGTACAGAGGGAGGGTGAGTTCTGAAGGTCAGTCGGTTACCCCCAAGCCTGCTTCCTGTGCCTGTCGGGAACTGCTGCCGCCCAGCCGCCCTCCGGGAAAGGAATGCCATCTCTACCCCGCAGCCAGGCGAGGGAGGGGCGCAACCCCAGTGCCTTTGTGATGTGGGGCTGGACTGGGCCAGCTCGGTCCCCTCGACCCAGCTCAGGCTGGGCAAACACTTGGGATGTATCCCCTGAGTGTGTGCACACTCAGGCAGGAGTGTGGTGGTCATGGAGGCATGTGGGCGTGAGGTAGACGTAGCACGGAGAGCAGGTGTGTCCCCAGATGGACGTTTTGCTTACCTAGGGCTAAGTGGGTTTCTGGGGTCATGCGAATACCTCGGAGCGTGGGTGCCACTGTATGAACTGTGCACCTTTTTGTCTGTCATGGGTGCGCCCAGGAGTGTTGCATGTGTGTCTGAGATTGTGGTCGCAGCGTGGATATGCCCAATTCCACCGTGTGCTGCTGAGGGCTATGACTCTGTATGGCGCTGTGCTATGGGTGTGGGCTAGGAGAGGGGCCTTGTGGGTCGAGTACCTGGCTGGATGAGTGGCTCGGTGGTGGGTCTCTGCAGCCAGTGAGCTGAGCTCTGCTGAGCTCTATGTTGCTCGCAGTTGTCTCTGTCCTGTAGGTCTCGACCGGTGTGAGTATATCGGACCGGTGTGAGTATCTCTGGGTTTGGCTGTATAGATCTGAGTTCTGCATGTGTGTGTGTGTGGGGGGGGGTATGTGCGTGTGGATGACAGTTACATCCAGAGCTGGCTGAGGGATCCAGTTGCTACATGCTCACTACCACACCCCGTGCATGCAACACACACATACTCACTTCTCTATCATGCATCACTGTAAAAACTTTCCCTTTTCCGGCAAAGTCCTCCTCCTCCCCACCCCTTGCCATCTCATGCCTCTGCCTGGGAAAGCAGAGGTGGGAAATCTGGGTGGTGGAGGAACAGGCAGAGTTCTGAGTTCAATTCTGGGCTAGGATGTAGTGTGTGAGCCCCAGCCCCGGCCTGTCTCTGACCCACTTTTTCTGGGAAATGGCTCATAAAGTGTCTCCTGCTGGATGGGTGCCCCTAAGCACCACCCCCACCCTGGCAATCTGCCTTCTGGCCTGATCATACCGTCTTTCCCTCCTATCAGCTCAGCAGCACAACATACCCTGTGGTTGTGAAGATGGGGCATGCGCACTCTGGGATGGGCAAGGTGAGTCCCCTGCTGGGTACCTATGTGCACTTCTGAGGGTGCATGTTTCTGACGTCACGTACATGCAAGCAGAAGTGTATCTGTGCATCCCACGCGTGCACACCAGTAATCCTGTGGGTTGTGTCTTGCTGTAGTCTTTATCTTCTTGTATTCCCCCCCTTATGGGCAGTTGCCTCTGTTGACCCAATTTCCTCTGGGCATTCAGCCAGTTTTACTCATCCTGTGGTTGCCCTGTGTCTGTGTGGGCCTGAACACCTCCACATTGGGTACACACAATGTATTTCGCATTCAGGGCCTTGGGATTTTGTCACTGTAAAATGCAGCAGGCAGACTTGTAATTTGTAATTTGTGTATGTTTGCATATTGTATTCAACTGATTTTGGGCCTGCGGGCCCATCTGTATCACTGCATAGGCACTCAGCTTCGCCATGGCTTTACTGAAATGTGATGCACATACCAGTGGGTGAGCGGTGTTCAGTACGCTCAGAGGTGTATGTGCCTAGCACTGTGTGCACATACACTACCAGGACACTCAGAACTGCATGCTTGAGTGCAAAGGTTTTGAGACCTCAGCTGGTCTGTGTCATCTGCATGCAGCCCCCCGCTAC